ACCGCTTTAGGGAATCTATGCCAAATGGTGGGGAACCCGACGATATGGGAAGCCCGGCTATGTGAGGGGGCACTCTGGATGGAGCCATGTGGGGACAGTTGTCAAAAACTCCAGCAAGTTCTGCGGGCTTTCTGCCCACCCACAACTCATCCTGCAGCCGTTCTCATCCTTAGTCTCCTTTCACTTTCCTCTGCCTCCCAAGATGCAGGACTTGGAGTACAGGTGGAGAGACCCAGTTAAAAAGCTAGAGAAACTTCCAAACACTGTGGGTTGCTAAGCATTACTAAAGGAGGCTGGCGCTTGGAGACACCTTCCCAATGATCTGCTCACTCCCCAGTTCAGGGCTCCCTGCCTGCTGTCTTCTCTGGAGCTGGGGATTTGGGTTAAACAGTATGGAGGGCTCCTCTGAGGGAAAGATCTTCCTGAGTGAGAAGGAATGGATGCCTTCTAATGTCCCTCCAGAAACCCAGCGGCTAGGAAAAGGGTCAGTCCTATTTAAACTTTAAAGGGCCATTCTCTCCCACTTGCATTTGAAGGCTGCCTTTTACCAAGGCAAAGTGGTTTTCATGAGCTTCTCAGAAATGGGTCCAAATCTCCAAAGAGACTTCTCTGGTTTCTGGCCAGGCTGGGCGACTCCAGCCTGAGACAGCTGCTCCAGCCACTGACGACCCAGGGAGGAGACAGATGGGAAGTGAATGAATTAGTCTACAGCTTAGAAAACAATCCACTCTTGATCCCAAAAGTTGGGACAAAAAAGACTGTGAAAGGCCTGTGGGTTCCCATTGCCCCCAGACAGGTCCATGCTGGTCCTGCTAGAGTGGGGGCTCCAGCACTGCCCTGAAGGAAAAAAAGGATGGAAGAAAGAGCCCCTGATCTGACCTCAGCTCCCAGTCTCTGGGAAGGTGCCTGCATTACTCTGGGCCCTTTCTGCCTGTCTTCCTGGAAAAGGAGGTCCCATCCCTTTCCCTGTTCCCAGAAGGATCCTATTCTGGGTTATAGAAAGGACCACCACTTCTGAGGCTCAGGCTAAGGGAGAGAGAAAGTGCTTTAGCCAAGGTCACGGAGGTAAAAAAGGAGGGAGAACTTAAATCCACAGACTTGGGTCAAGATGTTTGTCCTGTCAGCTCAAAGATTAAAATGACTGCCCAGGGTAACAGCCTCCGCCCCTGACCACATGCTGCTGAAGGCACAGACCCCAGGGTAGGTAAATCTGGGACAATAGGGGAAGTGCCCAGGGCAAGGAAGAGAGCCAGAATTAGAGTAGAAGCAGTCCCACCCTGTCTCCTTGGTGCCAATGGGGGTCCCTTCCTTGCCTATGTTGGGGATGTTTTCCAGAGCAGAATTCTGGGAGTCAGACTTTTGAATTCTGATTCAGCCACTTGTGTGACCTTGGACAAGTCACTTACTCACCTTACATCTTAGATGGCCTGGGTTCATCTCTCACTTTCTAGCTGGGTGATTTTGGACATATTTAATCTCTCTCTACCTCTGTGTTTCCATTTGTAAAATGATAACAGTAGAAGTACTGGGTAGTGTTTTCATAGGGGTTTGGTGAGCATTAAATTAGTTGGTACATTAAAACCCTCAGAACAGTGTCAGTAACTTAGTAGGTAACATGTTAGCTGGTAAATATTATAATGCACAATAGGATGGAAATATGCAAATGAGCTCAGTGCCAGCACACAGCAAGTATCCTGTGACTGAGCTGCTGTTATTGAGATTGTTACTGCTGAGGATTTCCTCCTCGACAGCACCCCCACCCTACTGTTAACTCTGCTTCTTCAGGAGGTTGCTGTCCCCAGCATTCAGCTCCAGCTGCAGGAGGGGAAGAGGAGCAAGGCAAACCAGTTCTTTGGGCTGATGGGGAAGCAGGTGGAAGGTGAGTGACAGTCGCATGCAGGAGCCCAGCAAAGTGTGGTTCTGAGTAGGTCTGAGAAGGGGCCCTAGGTTAAAGCAGTGAAGCTTGGATCAGTTACTCCAGTCCAGAAGGGGTCACTCCTGAGATGAGGTGGGGTAGACCATTCATGTAAATTACCATCCTTGGGGAGTGTTAACAATGACAACAGGCAACAGATGTAAATAGAGACTTTCCTGGCATATGGGGAGCACAGACACCTTAATGGTGGGGCAAACACCTTGCACTCTATCTGGTGTCCCTGGCTTCCATTCCTGGGTGACTTTGGGGAGTAGCAGTAAAGCTAGAGGCCAAAGTCAATACACGAGCAAAGCAACCAGCCAAGCTTTTTAGTTGTTTCTTTGGCTCAAATAGAATTACTAAAATAAACCTCTGTCTCCCAAGGGCACTGCCAACGTGGGAGTCCTGCCTAGGGGGGAAAGGAGGTTGCAAGCGGTTTTCTCCTTGCTTATTGTCAACATCCTATTGGGGGGAGTGAGGGGGTACCAGAGATTAAACTCAGGGGCACTCGACCACTGAGCACCATCCCCAGCCCTTTTTATATTTTATTTAGAGACAGGATCTCACTGAGTTGCTTAGTGCCTTGCTGTTGCTGAAGCTGGCTTTGAACTTGCAATCCTCCTGCCTCAGCCTCTGTAGTTGATGGATTACAGGTGTGCATCCTGTTTCTTAAGTGGTCATGCTCAGTGTTGGTGAGGACATGAGGAAACTGGCATTTTTATTCACTGTCTATATCCATCAAAATAGAAAATGTGCATGCCACTGATCAAAGTATTCTTTTTAACTCTTTTGTAATAGGGGAGAATTTGGAAATAACATAAAGACCATCATGGGGGAAAGACTGAAATATATTAGGCACATACATAACCTCAAAGACATTTAAAAAGATGAAGCAGCCGAGCACAATAGTGCATGCCTATAATCCCAGGATCTTGGGAGGCTGAGGAAGGAGGATTGCAAGTTCAAAGCCAGCCTCAGCAACTTAGCAAAGTCCTGAGCAACTTAGTGAGAACCTGTCTCTAAATTAAAAAACATAAAAAGGGCTGGTGATGTGTCTCAGTGTCCCCTGGGTTCAATCTCCAGTTCAAAAAAAAAGAGGCAGATTTGTGGGCAGATATGGAAAGAGCTCTAAGATATATGGTTAAAAGGAAAAAGCAAGTTACAGAACAAATATACATGATAAAAGCCTACTTGTTTAAAAAAATTACATACTTACACATATATGCAAACTCAGGAAAAGTTCTAGAAGGATGAACATCAAACTGTAAGTAGTGGTTGTATCAAGGACAGGAAGTAGAGAATGAGGGGGATAGAATGAAGAGGAACTTTAATTTTTACTGTACAAACCTTTACATGGCTTGGGTTTTAAAACAGTGGGCGAGTATTCAAGGACTACTTCTGCAGTTAAAAAAAAAAAGTATGCATATAAAAATAGAGAAAACCAACTTGTGACCACTTTTGGCCTTAGTTTCCTCTTTTACAAAATGAGTTTGGGAATAGGCCATTTCAAAGTTCTCTTCCCAATCCAACATCCCAGGAAGAGCAGGGGATGGAAAAGAAAGATTTCCTGAGTATGACAGTTTAATCTCCTTATCACTAGTGGGGACTCAGCTTCCAGTGGGGGAAGTCCCTTCCCCAAGGATGCCCACCCAGCAGGTGCCAGGCACCAATGAGGCCAAAGTGTGTATATCACATTACTCCTCACTGCCTCCTGCCCGGAACACTCCTGCTGTCACTTGAGGACACCAGGGGAATGACTATAGCTCCAGTGAAGACCCCCCCGCCCTACCTCCCCAAGCCCCCAAAAGGGGTGGCACAGTCTTCATTCCTTCTTTTTCCTTCCCCCAGGAATACCTCCCATCCAGCCAGAGAGAGCAGGTAAGTGTTGCCTAGACCTTCTCTCCGCATGCTGTCTGGGGATGGGCAGGCTGTCCCAGCCACTAGCAAATCAGAAATGCAAGGCTGGCATTGCAGTGTAGAGAGTGGGGCCAGTGTGGTTTGGCCAAGTGCTGGGCTTTCTGGTTGTTTCCATAGAGGGTGGTCCATGCATGCCTCGGGAATGCTTGCAGGGCTGGGAGGAGACAGGGGTGTCTAGTTCTGCCAAATTTCAAAATCACTTTGGATCTAAATCCTAGAGTTGGAAAAGTGAATCAAAGATCAGAAGTGCTCAAAGCTTCAATCCCCTGCATACTGCAGGATCTTAAAAGTGAAAATCTGATTAGCCATTACCCTGCTAAAACCTTTCAGCTGAAAGGGAAAAACAAAATCAAAAGAAAGCAAACCAGCCTGTACCCATGACCCCTGAGTGCTCTTGGGACCAAGCCCAACCCCAGCATACTTTTTGGGCCTCACTGACTTGACTCTGGCCCATCCCTGGCTGCTGTCCTCCCTGACCACCTGCCCTGCCCAGCCAGTGTGGTCTCCTCAGCCTGGGCACTAGATTCTCCTTGGCATAGTACGCTGTGCTGTCCTGCCAGGTCACACAGCTGGTGTTCCCAGCCCTCCAGTGCACAGGCTCCAGATCTGCCATCCCTCGGTATCCCAGATACACAGTCTGGTTTCTTCCAAAAGAAGCACCCACTATTGGGCTGGGGATATAACTCAGTTGGTAGAGCACTTGCCTTGTATGCACAAGGCACTGGGTTTGATCCCCAACATCCCCCCCACACACACCCCACACTAGGTGCTAGGAAAAACAGATGGGAGAATGGAAGAAAAAGAAGAAATCAGGGTTGAGGCTGTAGTTTAGTGGCAGAGCTGCTTGCCTAGCATGCATGAGGCACTGGGTTCAATCCTCAGCACCACATAAAAATAAATAAATAAAATAAAGGCATGCTGTCCATCTAAAACTACAAAAAAATAAAATAAAAAAAGAAGAAATCATGAATGAAGACATGAAAGAATGAAACAATCCAGGGTATCCCTCAACTCCAAGATGATTGAGAAATTACTCCATTTTCAAGGTCCCAGCTTTGGCTCCGGTCCTGCCCTTCACTGGTATCCACGACAGTGGTTCTCTGTTGCCTCTCTCTTCTCTCCCTCATCTTTCTCCCTCACCAGGGTATAAGCTGGGACAAATGGTCCAGGCCCTCCTGGGCAGGAGGGGATCATCCATGGAAGGTAAGCAAAAGCCCCTGGTGGGCCACAGGGACATCATAAGAAAGTGGCCTTGCATTTTGCTGCCAATCAGACAGAACAGGCTTCCACAAGCCACTAGCAGTAGCCCCTTGGGAGAGGGTAGGGGTGTAGGGAGGTGACCCCTGATGATTCAGAACAGAAATAACATGGCTCTGAAACTGTGCCCTCCCCACCCCAACATGCCCCAGCACACTCTGCTCTGTCCCCTGGGGCCAGCTGAACCCACAGTGATGTGTAGTTCTCCATCCTGAAACATGCCCTTACTCCCTCACTGTCCATAAAGTCCTAGTCCTTCCTATTGAGAGGGTGGTGTCTTTCAGTCTTAAGAGATTCACTGCCTTCATCAAATGTCATTAAGTGCACATCATTCTGAGATGGGTACTATCCTAAACAGTTACTAGTTTATACCTCTGGCAGGCGTCGGGCATGGAGGCTGGTAAGTGAATTGGGCAGGGAAGTCACAGGTCTGGAGAGCCCACACAAGAAGTGAGTCAATGGGTGCCCCAGAAGTCAAAGATACTTATGAACCTGAGCTCTAGGCTGCCTTCCCTAGTGCCTAACCTCTTCCTCTGAGCTGCAGACTTTGGGGTCCCTCCCTTACTCCCCAAATAGAACATCTGCTTGGGAAAGGTCTCTATTTTCTCCTGAGATTTTCTTGACATGTTTGAACCACTCCATTTAAAAGACCCTGGAAGTCACCCCAACACCAAATAGAAACGAGGGCCACAGGCATGCTGTGCACAGGAAGCTCAGAAGCTGTTGTTTTTTGGAGATGGAAAGCAATTTGTTCCAAGTCACAAGTAAGCTAATAACAGAGCCAGGACTAAAAGCTATGTCTCCAGTTTCCTGATCCATGGCACCTCCCATGTCCCCAGGCAGGCCTTTGGGACTTTTGAATGCCGCTTCCTCTTCTTTAGAGTAAATAACTAAGGATTGGCTCCATCCCTGTTCTGGAGGCACTTATGATTGAATAATGGAAGATATGGCAGCAGGTCTGTAATTCTGCCACCCTAGATAGCTACGGACAGAAGAAACATGAGAGGGAAATGGAGGGCCCTGGGCAGTGACTAGGGAAGGCCTTTCAAAGTAGGGGAGACGTAAGAGTCCCCTAACCACCATCTGTGTACAAAACTCTCCCCAGGCACAGAGGATGAGGACCCAGGTTCAGAGTGAGAGCCCCCAGAGGATGCAAGACCTCTTCCCTGGATCTCACTGCTGACTCTCTCCTCCCGGGTCTTCGGTCCTGCATGCTGGCAATCTACACCAGCCCTGCACTGAACTCACTGGGCTTCTTCCAGGACTCTCAGTGACAAGCTGTGGTACACAGATGCACTGTGGTCACCCTGATGAGCAGGAGTGGCCCTGCCCTCCCCCACATGTTGGGCATCACCAGAGCTAGCTTCACAGCACACAAGCAGGGACTCAATAAATAAATGAATGACCACTGAATGGCTTCCTCTGTGGTGTGTGTTGGGGTCGGGGGTGGGGGTAGAGGGCAGGATGTCAGCAGGCCACCAGGCTTTTATCAGAATTGCAAAGGAAGCCTACTCAGCCCAGGTCCTGTTCTCAGATGGGAAAACAGGCTTGGGACACAGGTAATGAGGTCCTACATAGAGAAACAGGGAAGAGACCTCAGGGTGAGGAGATGGCAGCAGGTATTTTGGAGTGGGAGGGACTGAGGGCAAGGGAGACTTTTCCCTTTAGGCTTCTCATCTTCTCTACCCCAACCATGACCTCAAGGGTTCAAACCCACACATCTCCTGATTTGGAGAACTGGGTCCCAGGTCACTCATCAATTCCTTTGTATAAGGTGGCCCCTTTGCCTTTAAGACACAGTGATCCCATTTCTGAGTCTTGGAAAGAGCACTAGGGGAACAGAACAGCTTCCAGCCTCAGGAGGTCCCCAGTGTGTTGGGGGGACCCTTGTCCCTGCCCTTGTAGTTTGAGGCAAGTGGGACACAGAGGAACCCAGAATGCCTAGAAAGAAGCCTATTAGCCAGAACGAAGCCCCAGGGGAAACCTAAGCAACGAGAGGTTCTGAACCAGAAGTGAGTTGGGAATTATGTGGGGAGGTTCAGCTGTAAAGGAGATCCATTCATTCACCAGGCCACAAGACGTTAAGCTTCTGTCACTCAAAAAAAAAAAAAAAAAAAAGTTTTTCTGGACATTTGAGTCTTGTCAGGGAATGTGGGTGGGAGTAGGTTATATTTAAAAGGAGGGGAAAGCAGGCCTTGATGGAGGGCAGGACCTTCATCTAGGTGCCAGGGAAGTGACAGGAAGGCTGATAAGGGGAAGCCAAATGGTGCCAGCATACCCTGTGGCTCCTTCCATCTGACCTGTAGTGACTCTGTCCTAAGACTGCCTGCTCATTGTAAACCCAGAACACACCCTGAGCCTTTTTTTTTTTTTTTGCAGGAGCTGGTACAGGGGCACTCCACCACTGAGCCACACCCCCAGCCCTATTTTGTATTTTATTTAGACAAGGTCACATAGTCACTTAGTACCTCGATAAGTTGCTGAGGCTGGCTTTGAACTCAAGATCCTCCTGTCTCAGTCTCCCAAACTGCTGGGATTACAGGTGTGCATCACCATGCCCGGCTCCTGAACCTCTGTTTTATCTCATACCTGTCATGTCCAATGATGCATATGGGAGCAGGGGACAGTGCAGGCGTCCTAGGAGTCTTACACTGCCGAACTCCCCCGTCAAGGAGTTTCCTAGCCTCCCCAATGCCCATTTCGCCCTAGCCCCCCTATCCAATGGTTGGTCCCAAGGGATGGGTTGCTTCAATAACCCAACTGAAGAAGCAGCAAAGGGGTTTATGACTTTATCCATGTGTTTGAAGTTTGGGAGGTTTAGAAAAAACCTCAATACGCTAGCCCTTCCCTGGAACCTCAGATAGGACTGGGAATATGAAAGAAGTGAGATAGGAATTTGCTCTAATGACCTAGGGTCCTTATAAGAGAACCAAGATGCACTCACTCTGGAAAGCCCACAGCCTTCTTGCCAATCATCTCTTTGGAACCCACCATGTTCCCTCAAGCTCCAGTTCCAGCACATGCCATTCCCTTTCCATTTTGTGGGTTCTTATTCACAGGTCAATTTCTCCATAAAGCTTAACCCTTGGGAAACTACCCATTTATTGCCTGCTCAGTGTTCCCAAAGCACTTTACACACTTTCTTCCATTCACACTCAATAGAAAATGTGTTGCTCTAATTAGTTTGCCTCAAGGTCAGGAACCTCACCTTAATTATCTTTATACCCTCAGCTCAAACAGAAGTGCTTGATGCATAAGTGGTCCTCGGGGAATGGGTTGGAGGGCTCACGTTTCCTGTCCACAAGGAGTCTGTCTCGAGGGAGCCAAAGTTAATGCAAGTAACTGAAGTAAATAAATAACAGCAGCCACTGCTTAGTGAACACGGTGGGTAGTCCTTGAACTCTGCATGTCCGACAATGAACTTCTGATCTGCATCGCTACACATTAGTATACCCAGATGCCAAAGAAAGCTGGGAGTTACTCTTCACCTCTGATGCATCCTCTAGCTGTGGAGGATGTCAAATTCTTCCACTTCTGGCCTATCTCCGCTAGCTCTATTAACATAAGCCACCCTTGGCCCTTCTTGAAAGGGAGTGGCCTCCCAACAGTCTCTGCTTTCATCTTGCTGCCATCCACTACATTTTTGGGTGTGTATGTGGTGCTGGGGATTGAACCCAGGGTCTTACGCATGCAAGGCAAGCGCTCTACCAACTGAGCTATATCCCCATTCTTCCCCATGCCTTTTAAAAAAGGAAAATGGATTGTATCCATCCCTGACCAGTTCAGTGCTGCCCTGAGATAAGCACAACAATCTTGTCAACGCCTCCAAGGTCCTGTGCTCTCTGTTCTCTCTCTCAATCCTCAAGCTCATTACCAGGTTCTCAGGCTTCCCCAACTGGATACTGCCCCAGTTACTCTACTTCTCTCCTGGGTTATCTTTCAGGTTCTAGGATAAAGGCCCTTTTAAAGACAGGGCTTCTTAGTTCAAGTTCAACCAATTCTCTTTCTATGCTTTTTTTTTTTTTTTTTTTTTTGGTCCCATTCCTGTTACACTGATCACAATTGAAAATAATTTGCCTCATCCAGGAGATTGCTAGTCACTCATGTAGCACTAAATCTCCTGTCCCAAGGCCTAATGACACTTATAAATATTTGGGAACTTAATAAATGTCAGGCACTTTGCAAGACAATTCACGTTCACAACCATGATTCCTGGTCTGCAGATGAGTATAAGCCACTTTCTTGAAGTTACACAGGAAATGGCAGAGCCGAGATTTGAGTCAAGGCAGCTTCACTCCACATGCTCAAACCTGACGCTTACAAGCCTCAGGTGAAATTATAAGTGGGGCCTCAAAGGAATCCCTTTTTAACTGGACCTATTTGGGTAGGGGAAAAAAAAATTCCCAATATGTCTGACCCCAGCATACCAGAATCTCAAGAAGCTCCATCCAGATCAAATCATTTCAGAAATGTTACGTTCTCCCTCCTCTTTGGAAAATTCTAGTATGCATTAGCTTACTGGAGGTTTTGAGAAGTCCAGAAGTCAAGACATATACTGGTACTTAGTGTTTTACCACAGCACTCTTTGTTCATACTTTTGTATTTAATGGAAGACTTCTGGGGAATGTTGAAGTGGAGGCTTTCCCAGTAAACACAGTGAAGGGGATAATGGGCTAATTCAACTGCATGCTGAGGCTACGTGGAAGGGAATGATGAAGGCTATGAGGGCTGAGTCAGCTTATGGAAAAACTTGAAAGCCAGGATAAATACGAACTTAATCCAAGGAGCACAGGAGGTCACATGAATTCTTGAACAGGGAAGTGACAGGCTATGTGTCAGTTGTAGAAGCACATTAATCCACTTCTAAGGAAGTGGGTGAGAATTCTAAAGCCAGTCAGGGGCCTCAGAAACAATTTGAGAGTTGGGATGTGCTAAATGACCACACTGGGGCTGAACTGACTGAGGGTGCCATTCACATAAGAGTTGCCCAAGATGGGGATCCTCCCCTGTGCACCTTCCAATTACAAGAAGGAAATAAATGGAAACTATAGGATCAAACTGAATTCTAGCCCTTCAGAAATCCTTTTTTTTATTCTGCTCCCAATACTGGGAATGGAACCAAGAGCCTTACACATGCTAGGCAAGTGCTTTTACCACTAAGCTATACCCCCAGCCCTCATTAAGTCCTGTCTCGCTTACCCTTCACTGTGTCAAACAATTCCAAAACATGGCTTAGAAGAATATTTCTCTGGGGTGGTGGGACTTAAAGCTGGATGTTTCGTTAGCTTCCTATGGTGACAGCAGGGACCATTCACAAAGCTACAGTGAGGAGTTTGTCTGAAATTGAAACTTTCAAGAAATCCAAGTGTGGACTTGTGTAGCTACCAGCTAAAGTAACCCAGTTGTCCTACACATGGTCTCTTACTTGGTCTCCCTTTCCCTGGTAGTTTAGCCCAAGCTTCTAGCTTGAAAACATGTCAGCACATGTCCAACAGCAAAGGTGGAAGCTACCAGAAGCACTTCCATATCATCATTTTACCAGTCAGTCAAAATGAGTCATAGGTAAAAGTGGACCACTGATAGGAAGGAGCAGCACATACTTACGGGGATGGGAGCAATTGTTGGTAGCCATCTTTGAAGATATCCAAGAGTATAAGTTTCTGGTAACTTTGGAATAAATTTTTATAAAGCAAGATGTTTCCAGAAACAAATACCAATTAAGAACAAAGACTGGCTTCTTAGAATGAACGTGACTTGGTTAAGAAAAAAGGTGTTTCTCTCTACATGGAACACTTGGCAGGTACCATGAAGCTAGAGTTGTACAACAGCACAGGTTATTCTCTCCACTCTTGGGCACAAGTAAACAAACTTCTAAGCCCCTAAATGGCGATGGCAGGACCTGTGTCTAAAGGTATTGCACAAGAGTGAAGAGGCAGTCTGATATTTTGGCACCAGGGGCATTTTTCACCACCAGGCAATCCTTTTGTTTCTTTCTTAGTGACATTTATTGGCATTGTTGAAGACATCACAAAGGAAGTGAGCAATTACACTGCCCCCATCAGCAGGAGATAGTCTGGAAGAAGCAGTCTTACATGTCTGTGGCAAAAAGTGCTGGAGCAAAACCAGTTGAGGTCCAATTCTAGAATTTCATGATCCTGATGAACAGCAAAGGGTCATTTCTGAATTCAACACATGCTATTACTTAACAAAGAGGTTTTCATATTTTATTCTTATGACATGTGCAATTCTATACATTTTGTACGTATACATACCTGTGAGTCTCACAGGGAAGAGGGAAGCCAATGTTGAGAGAAAGTAAGGCATGCCTTTGCCATCCCATTTCGCTACACTAGATGGAATTAGTTGTGGAGTCCACTCACACTCAAGAACCAGCTTAGGGCCTTGGGCTAAGA